GTAGGCCAGTGGTCCTCAACCTTTTTGGCACCAGGAACCATTTTCATGGAAGACAATATTTCCACAGACCGGGGAAGGTGGGGGATGATTTTGGGATGATTCAAGCACATTATATTTATTGTGCACTTTATTTCTATTATTATTATATTGTAATATATAATGAAATAATTATAAAACTCATGATAGCTTGAGGACCCCTGCTGTAGGTAATTGTAACACAATGGTATTTGTGTATCAAAACATAGAAAAGGTATAGTAAAATACAGTATCAAAGATAAAAAATGGTACACCTGTTTAGGGCACTTACCATGAATGGGGCTTGTGGGACTGGAAATTGTTCTGGGTGAGACAGTGAGTGAGGGGTTAGTGAATATGAAGACCTAGGATAGTATTGTACATTGCTGTATACTTTACAAACACTATATGCTTAGAATACACTACAACCAAAGTGCCCATCAATTCTTGAGTGGATTAATAAAATGTGGTATATGTATACCATGGAGTACTATTCAGCTATAAGAAACAATGGTGATATAGCACCTCTTGTATTTTCCTGGATAGAGCTGGAACCCATTCTATTAAGTAAAGTATCCCAAGAATGGAAAAATAAACACCACATGTACTCACCAGCAAATTGGTATTAACTTATCAACACCTAAGTGAACATATAGGAGTAACATTTATCAGGTGTAAGGCAGGTGGGGGGGAGGGGATAGATATATACAAACATAATGAGTGAGACGTGCAACGTTTGGGGGATGGTCACACTTGAAGCTCTGACTCAAGGGGGGGGCATGGACAATATACGTAACCTTAACATTTGTACCCCCATAATATTCTGAAAATATTTAAAAAATATTTTTCTTTCTTCCTTAGCTTTACAGTAAGCTAAGGTTAATAATAAATTTATCTCAGCTTACTGTAATTTTTTATAAACTTTTTAATTTTTTAACTTTTTGACTGCTTTGTAATAACAGTTTAAAACACAAACACATTGCACAACTATACAGTAATATTTCTTAGTATTCTTATTCTATAAGATTTTTCTATTAATTTTTTTTTACTTTTTAAACTTTCTTGTTAAAAACTAAGACACAAACACACAAATCAGCCTAGGCCGACACAGGGTCAGGATCATCAATAACTCTATCTTCCACCTCTGCATCTTGTCCCACTGAAAGGTCTTCAGGGGCAAAACATGTATGGAGCTGTCATTTCTTATAATAATGCCTTCTTCTAGAATATCTCCCAAAAGACCTGCCTGAGACACTTTATAGTTAACCCTTTTAATATAAGAAGTGCACTCTAAAATAACAATAAAAATATAATATAGTAAATACATAAACCAGTAACATAGTCATTTATTAGCAAGTATTATGTACTATACATAATAGTGTGTACTATACTTTCATAAACTGGCAGCACAGGTTTGTTTGCACCAGCATAACCAAAAACACATGAGTAATGCATTGCGATATGATGTTATCACTGCTATGATGTCATGAGGTAATAGAAATTTCTCAGCTCCATTATAAAATATATTATGGACCATCATTGTATATGGTGTCCATTGTTGACACCATTGTTATGCAGTGTGTGACTATATCTGTATCCTCAAGCATTTGTCCACCATCCCTCACTCAAAGGTATAGTTGCCAAGGGCTTTTTAAAAAACATGTTTCCTGTTCTTCTGAGATGGCTACCAAAAGAGATGCTCCCTGTCATACATCTTAGTGACATAATGTCCCCCATGCATTCTCAGTGGGGGCAATATCACCTTCAAAAGGAATAAAAATTGGAGAGAGAAAAAATCTTGACCCTTTTCGTGTATAATGCACAAATATAATATGGTACATAAATAAACATACAGTATATTCATGGTATTTAAAATTTGAGGGAGAGGCATTATGGCATCTGAAAAGGCAATAATAGGGAGAAAAAAGTTGAGAAACATTATTCTACAGCATGGCAAATACCACAAAAAGCAGAAGAGAATAATGGAAACTCAAGTATTGATATTATCATTAAGTCTATGAATTAAATGAAACCTGTAGCCTGTCCTAGCTTTTGACTTTCCACTTAAGTAAGCCAATAAACCTCCTTTATTGTTTAAGCCATTTTGTGTTGGGTTTCCTGTTACTTGTAACAAAAGTCAAATTAAGTGGTAAAATATGGAACTCTTTAGATATATTATACATACCAATGCCACAGAACATTAAAGTAGAGCTATTTTAATCTCAGTTTCTGCTAAGCCTCCATGAAAATGGGTGCCAGATATCCCCATATCCAAAATGAGCCAAGTAAGATGTGAATCCCATTCAGAATATGCAAAGGAGTGGCAGGAAATGGATTTTGAAACCCTTGTCCCCTCATTTCCTAGAGATTATAAAAAGCCCAAAATTGAAAACAGAGTTGGGAGTTAGAGAGTAGTTGTTAGGGTGCTGACATAAGGGAGTGTGGGGAAGGGTTCTCAAACTGGGAGGGACTTCAAGGATACCACATAAATAGCTTTATACGTATCTCTGGGGATTTATGGAGACACACAAATGGGTTACTGAAGTTGACATGAAATTGTAAGGTCAAGCTTCCATCCTTAATTCGTGAAAGTTAAAGAAATTAAAAGGAATGCAAAGTCAAAATTGAGGTGAACTGAGATGGGTTCAACTCCACTCCATCATATTTCTTAATTAAAACTTTACTACTTAGGGTTCTTTGCATGTAAATGACAAAAGTACAACTTGGACCAGCTTAAATGAAAATGGGAATTTACTAGCTCACATAAGCAAATTGCAGAACAGAAGAGGTGAATTGGACCTTGGGAATGACCTTGGGGTTCAGAGACATGAATACTACTGAGACTTCCTATTATCAAAAGCTAGGGAAAAGTTTCCATGCAGACAAAAAAGAAAAATCAAAAAGAAATCTGCCAGTAAGTTGGATAAGGATTCATTTTGACTGGTATCAGTATCAGAAGTCCAAATCAGTGAACAAAACACAGAAACAGAAGTATTGGGGTAGATGAGGTTCAAAGTTATACAAGCAACTCACTTTGAAATGCATCTAACAAAAAAAGGATAGATGGATGTAAGTATGGATGGATGGATAGATGAATACATATATATGTGTGTGTGTGTGTGTGTGTGTGATAAAAACAAGTATAGTAAAATGTTAAAGATAGAATCTTGGTGGTGGGTACACAGGTGTTCATTGTAATATTCTTTCAACTTTTCTGTATATTCGATATTTTGCATAGCAAAATTTGAGGAAAAATCAAGCAGAATTCATCATGGCTGTAGCAATTAGCCCCTTGTCAGGATTCTAGCCCTAAACTGGAGATATAGGAAATGGATCGTACACTCCAGGGAAAGAGCAGCCTGACAGAAGCTATTCATTTGTCCAAAATATATAAAAATATTTCTTTAATTGACACTTGGCAAGCATCCATTGTACTAAGATCAAAGTATTAAAGAGAAATCAGATATGGACCTGCAGCATGATAACACAAGGCAAGAGGTTACCATCCTAGTTTGGAAAGGCAAGAAATGACAAGTGAACTTATTATTCCATGGATTAAATCTGTTTCTATTTGGTTATTAGTGCATGCACATTATTTCACATGTCCTGTTTCTCACTTGGCTAAGTGGGTGATGGATGGGATCCTTCAGTGTGATAGGAAAAGCACACAAAAGAACATATTTGTAGTGGGTGGTAACTTTCAAATTTCCTTTTGGCATCTTGTAGTTTAGGTGTTTATGTTATATCTAAATAGAGATGTCCAAAAGGTCCAGAATTCAAGAAAAATCTGAATATTGGGAGTCATCATCATAAAAAAAGGCATGGGAAGCCAAGACCCTGTCTGTGTAAGATCATCCAGAGAGTGTGTGTACAGTGCAAAGAAATTATTCCTTTTTTTATTCTTTTGTCCATCCATCAAACTGTCATTAAGTGTTACTAGAACCAAAGTAAAAAGCAACAAAATGTTTTCCAAGAGTTCACAATAACTTCTTGATGTCCAAATCAAATGATGTATTTGCAATCCTAAATGTGTTTAACTTCTGTACAGTATTTACTTGGTTGGTTACTCCTTCACTGGAAAGCCCTCCTCTGGTGACATCTGGACACTATTCCCCTCACATCCCCCCTTTCAGACTGCCCCTTTTCAGTCTCTTACTGAGACTTAGAATTTGGCATTCACAAGAATCTGTCTTTGGTCCTTAAATCTTCATCTCTAACTCCAATTTTTCCACAGTTAGGCTTCAGATCAAAATGACTAAAGTTTAACAGCTAGTTTAAAACTGAAAATTGTGTTGGTATTACAACACGGGCAATACTCTCCGGCTCGGAGACAGATTGACTTAGCTTGTGAGGATCATAATTGCTTTAATCTCTCTGATGCCTACTTTCTCATGTCCTCAAAATGGCAACAAAAATATTTGGTTTGCAAGGTTGCTGTTGATTAATTTATCAACGTAAAGCACTAGTATCCTGTATGTCTGTCCTGCACTAGTGATCTATAACTTGAGGTGAACAGGACAAATTATGCCACATTATAAATACCTCACCAACCTAATCCGTGTAAAGTTTGTAACACTAAAATATTAAATTCTGTTAGTGAGCATTCAGCCTCCATAGTGTTACTCAGGTTGCATGAGCTGACTGGCTGTTCCAAAATCTCTCACAGCGTCAGGGACTAGCTCAAAGTAACAGAAGCAACCACTTCCTTGCTTACACATTGAGAAAAACACAATTTGCGAGGCTTCTTAAAGAAACAGCTCAGCTTAGCTTAGGAATGAAACTGAAAGTGAAACAAGGCAAACATATCCCGCCCGTATGCAGGCGGCTCAAAGAAGATAAAGTGAGGACAAGACACAGTTCACGAAGAAGAGACAAAATCGCAGATTTCATCTTTCCCGCTTGTTCTTAAAGGACCAACCGCACTGACTTTCCGTCATGCTCCGCGCCACTTCCCTTAGCGCACTTTAATAACGTCAGTGCGTCAGCTCTCGCGGTATCATCCGGTTGCAGAGGCCCTTTAACAAAGGTCTCGCGAAATTTCTTCCACAGGTCCAGGCTAGCCTCTCACCCTACTCCACCCCACCCCCAACCTGTCCTTGCTTTCTCTTTAAGTCACAAAATTCTCCCCTCCCCTCCCTCGAGCTCACAGCCCTCCTCCCGTTTCCTATTTCAGACCGGAACCGGAAGTCTGGTGGGCGGGCCCGGCAGCGGAAAACGCAGCGGGGCCAGAGCCGGGACACGGCTGTGGCCGCTGCCCCTACCCCCGCCACGGATCGCCGGGTGGCAGGACTGCGCGGCTCCAGGCTGAAGGTCGGTCCGGAGGCGGGTGGACCTGGGTCTCACCCGGATTGTCCGGGCGGCACCATCCCGGGTCCTCCCGGGAGCCGCGAGGGATCATGTCTACAGCCTCCGCCGCCTCGTCCTCCTCCTCGTCTTCGGCCGGTGAGATGATCGAAGCCCCTTCCCAGGTCCTCAACTTTGAAGAGATCGACTACAAGGAGATCGAGGTGGAAGAGGTGAGCGAGGCCTGGCAAGGAGACGCCTATCCCGGCCCTTCCTCGCCTCTGCCTGGTCCCGGCTCTGAAGGCGCCTCTCTGGCCCCTCTAATTCACAGGGCTCCGCGCCCCAGGAACCACCCGAAGTCCCCACAGCCCCTCAGAGATGGGGTGTCGGGGGGACTCTGCACTCAACTCTTCCAAGGTAGCTGTCTTTTTTCCTCACTTTGGCACTCTTAAGTTTGAATTTGATACTCCAGTGCCTGGATTTGAGTGATCTCAAACGAGAATGAACTGGTGAGATCGTGTGGTCCATCAGTCCTCATATCTGTAAGTAGTAAATTCAGTAAAGACCGTAGCCGTTTTGGAGTTTCAATTCCCTAAACGTGGTGTTCTTACGGGCCAAAGATTGTATTATGTTCGACTTCTAGCTCAGTGCCTGGCATGTAGGGGATGCTAATAAATGGTTGTTAAATTAGTAGATCATGGAGTCTAATAAAGTGTTTCCCCTAGTGCCGAATGCTTCTCGGTTTCTCTGATACCATAGAATTGTGCTCATAATATTTAAATATTCCGCCTTCAGTTGGGCTAATTAGATGAATTTCTATTACTAATAGTAATACCATTACTAATACAGACTGATCTGTGATGGAAAGATGTTTCAAGTAGCATATTCTGAAGAGAGGTAACTAATGATTTCAGTGACGATCAGAATATAACATCATACTAGAAATCACTGTTGGAAACCCCGAATCCATTCTTTATTCTGCAGTAATATAAATTAGAGCTTTTCAAATTCACAGAGGGGTAGATTGGTTCTAAGGACTGCAAAATTTAGAAAAGTAAAAACTTTTTGTTTTAAAGACATTTTAGAACTTGCTAAAACTTTGGTTGAAAATAGTATCTACCAAACAATTACCATTTAGTTATCATTTTTAAAATTACTTTGCACTACATGTAGTATAAAGAACCCTGTATGATATCCTAATGAAATATTACAGACTCTCAAAGAATTGTGTCTATTTTGAATATCTAAAATTACTTTTAGGTAGCAGCAAATTAAAAGTAGTGAGATAATTAACGTTCAGTGAATAAATTTTTCTTCCCATGCATGCTTTGGAAGAATCATTACTGAATCATCTTTAGAGGTTATTGAGAACATCATTTTACAAGGTAGTATAGTGGAAAGAGCAGGGTCTTTGGAGTTAGAAGAAGGTTCAGTATGTCAGATACACACCACTTACTAATTGTGTGATTTGGAGCAAGTTTCCTAACTTTAGTTTCCTTAACTAAAATAGTTAAGTAGAGATAATAATTTCTATTTCATTTTATGTGTGTAACAGATCCTAGTAGACAATACATGCAAAACACCCAACACAGTGCCTGACACATATTATTAGGAAACCTAGTTTCCAGAGAGGAACAGTGACCTGGTCAGATGGCTAAAAGAAGCCTATTTTTGAAAAGAGGGTGTAATGTTTTTGGTTTGTTCTTTTTTCTGTTGAGGCTATGATAAATTCCTTTTTCAGATGTGGATAGTTGATACAGCATTCGTGGCTAACATTCTTTTTAAAAATAAAAATTCAGTGAGTCAGAATACAAGAATTGCAGTTTTTAAATAAGCATTTACGTCTACTCTGTGATGAGTTGCTATGCTTGTAGACTACAAATTGTTATATAATAATAACTTGTACTTTATGGTTTACCAAATGCTTTTACAAACTTACCTCATTCGAATTTTACAAATTTAGTTTTTTTGCGCTACTTTCTAAAGCTTTTTACCTTCTTGCTTCATGGAAGAATGCAAGTTACTAAAAAGGCATTATCATTTTGGTGTTCTTCCCCCAGAGCCATCTCACTTCTGATTAGGTTTTTGTTGCCAAGACCCTTTCAGTTTAGATAATGTTTCAATGTGTATGTATGTGTACACGCACACATTTAGGATGTTCCTGGGGAGTAGATTTTTGTTTCTAAATGAAAATTTATTTCTAATATTAGGCAGTCATTTAGAGGTTTTTTTGGTTTATGTTCTTTTCATTTTCTAACACCCAATTTATTTTCACAATAAAGATTGAATTTGGACCTTTCTGATGTTGAAAACATTACTTAATTTTCATCATGTTCATCATTTGCACACATTAAAATGGTGTTATATAATCCAGGATGTACCATGGACACCCAATATTTCTGAACTTAGATTCCTCTTGTAGGTTAAATCATGATTAAGAGAACAGAATAAGATGACCAGAAACAAAAACTAGTTTACATTACTTTCAATATTTTATATTGTGCAAGAGTGTTACCTTTTAAATTAAGAAAATCAGTTTGCAGTTCTCGAATAACAATATAATTGAATCACATTATATCAACATAATTAGAAACTATGTAAAAAGAAAATTTTAACCACAATTCAAATATGCAGTCATTTAGTAGGTACTTATTTCTAAGACATCAGCTGATTTTTATCCTTGCATTCCTAATATTGTAACTCAATGATATTAGGTTAGGCACTTCTTAAATTTAATTCCGATATCAAATTTTGTAAATTCTTAGTCTCAGAAATCTACCTAGGTACTTTTTTTAAAGCAATTAAGTTTTTTCTATTCTGGATGTGGGCATAGTAGATGTTAGAATAAAAGAGTATATATATTAGGGATGAGGTTGCAAGAAATAGTGAAGACAGCATGGTGTAGTTGAAAGTGTACTGGGCTAAAAATTAGAAAATTTAGGTGCTATACCAATCCTGCTGTAACTCTGTGCAAGTCACCTCATTTTTCTGGGCCTGTGATTATTCATGTAAAATGAGGGATCAAACAAGATCATTTAAAGCCTTTTCCAGTTCTAAAATGGAAACACATTCATTGTTTCCAGTATTTATGTTCTGTTTCCACAGTAAGCTTAGAAGTTCTTTAAGGACAGTGATTATGATCTCCCATGGAATGAAGTTGGTAACCAACTAATCCTGGGTAGACAGGGCAAATGATATCCCATTTTATGGATATTAACAAGTGGTCATAGAGTTTGATTTGCCAGAAACCACATGCCTAAGTAAATGGTAAAGCTGGGAATTGAATTTGAGATTTCTTACTCATGAGTCAGTTGCTTTTTCAAAGTTTTTACAAAGTTACTTTAGTAACTTTGTACAAAGTTACTTTTATAAAGTTTACTTTACAAAGTAAAGTTTACAAAGTTACTTTAGTTCTTTCTGAAGTACTTTATAACCAAACCTTATTCTGGAAATGGGGAAATAAAATACTGATTTCTTGTATAGAGTATTTGGTCCTGAGTATTTCATAAATGTTCCTTTCTGTACATAAAACTGGTAAGGTATTATGGAAGATGAACAGAAGAATCCTAGGATTCTCTCCTTAAAATGTCTGACTTATTATGAGACTAGGATAAACACAGAACAGTTAATTATTAATGTTTTCAGAATTGAGCATTTAGCCCATAGTTTGAAAGGGGAGTTGTTAATCACAGATGGCTGCATCTAGTGGGAACAGTTTTAAACTAGGTTTTGCATAAAGTGACCATCATATGCTGGGAAAGTCACTAAGATGAACTCTTTACAGTTGTTAGTCTGTATAGAGTACTATTCCACTGGAACTTCACGTGACTATCTCCTTCTCATCCAAGTCCCACTTTAAATGTCGCTTCCTTAGAGAAGCATTCCTTGAGCAACCTAGGCTTTTGCCATTTCTATTATCTTTCATGGCACTCACTAGTAACTGAAATTGTATATCCCTCTCAGCAAATGTAAGGTGCCTTATTCACATTTGTGACCCCAATGCCTAGTAGTACCTAGAAGGTTCTTTATAAATATTTGTTGAATGAATAAATAAAATTTTCACAGTGTAATCATAAGAATTAAATATCTATCTGGTTCTCTTATATTACAAGTTATAAAACAAAGGTGAAGAAAAATTATGTGATTTGACAAAGGCAGTACTTATAGAAATGAGATCTGGTTCTTATTCTGATGTTGATTACATTATACTCCATTATACTTAGCAAATACTTTTGTTTACAGATGCTGTAAAGGGCTAGGTACTGTGAATAAGCCAGTTGTTGCCCAGTCTTCACTAAAGTGATAAAAAGACCCTAATTACAAAGATTGCTTTTTAAAGGGGAGACCCACAATGTTAATCTCAACTATAGTGTATATGAGCAAGAATACGATATTGGACACATATAATCACTATAGCATTTATATATGTTCTTAAGCTTCATTAAGGAGACACACAAAAGTTTTGTTTTAAAAGCTAAAATATACTAGGGAGGGGAGATATAGAAAGAACTTTGTCAGTGATAGTATTTTGTAGGTTTAGATTATAAAAATATGGGCAAATAGCCGGGCGTGGTGGCTCACACCTGTAATCCTAGCACTCTGGGAGGCAGAGGTGGGCGGATTGCTCGAGGTCAGGAGTTCGAAACCAGCCTGAGCAAGAGCTAGACCCCGTCTCTACTATAAATAGAAAGAAATTAATTGGCCAACTGATATATAGAGAGAAAATTAGCTGGGCATGGTGGCTCATGCCTGTAGTCCCAGCTACTCGGGAGACTGAGGCAGCAGGATTGCTTGGCTGACACCACAGCACTCACTCTAGCCTAGGTACCAAAGCAAGACTCTGTCTCAAAAAAAAAAAAAAAAAAAAAGATATGGGCAACTGATAGTAGAGAAAAACCTAATTTATAGTGGTTTGAATAAACTGAGTTTGTTAGTCACTATTAAATATAGATACCAAAAATTATCAATACATTCTTCCATGTGAAACTTAGTGACCATTGATTTTAGTAGAAATCTGGAATGGTTTTTATGGTAAAGAGGTAGCTACAGAGAGAATTTTTGTATTGTACGTGTGTAACTTAAAGATAGCATATTTCAAAGAAAGGACTATTAAATGAGTCAGATATATTATGACAAGCTTTAAAAGACTACATGAAAAATTCAGAAGAAAGTTTGAATAATCAACACTTTACTTTTATGTTAATCAAGTCTATCTTGTCAGCAGATGGCAGTT